ACTTGAAATTATGCAAACATTAATTTAATTGGATAATACTTGATAAACGTGGCAATTTAGAAAACTTTTTTTTTCAATAATAATAAAACCGGTTACTTCCCGCCAAAATGTCAAACGACGCCCAATGGGGTTGTTTGTACCTGGTCAAAGTGAAACATAAAATCCATTAGATCACAACTTGGAGATTAATATGTATGTCTGTGGTCACAATTATCTCATACATTTTACTTCTATGCATATTTAATAACTGTAAACAAATATATTGATATTTTAGACCTGTTTTGTGTGGGAGAATAGCTCAAATCGGGGTCTTTCAAATCTTATAGGACACAACGTCATTCATTGTGCCGTTATCAGAAAAAAGTGCCGGATGAAAAAAAACTATTTTCGTAATTTCTCTTCGAAAAATGATAAATATGTAATCTGATAAGCAAGAAAAATACTGTCGATTCAAATGTAATCGAGAATGGGAAATCTAAAATTTGAAACTACAGGGGTGGCAGGAAAAATCCATATACGAAAACACACCACCAGGAAAATAGTTGAAAAGAATATTATCTGGCCTGTTAGTGTAGTGGTTATCTTGCTTGTTTTACATGTGGAAAGGTCGTAAGTTCAAATCCCACAAGGAGTATATACTTTTATTAGGCACTTTTATTTTTTTTATTTATTCTTTTTTTTGCACTTAACTTTAATGATTTATTTCATCTTCCCTCGTATTTTATTTGCGAGAATGCTATAGTGTATATATAATAAGTTACAATTCAAGTTTATAAATCTTCAACTTCTGTGGCACGCTCAGACGCGCCATTGGCGAGTTCGTTCCCGGTGCCAAGCGAGTACCTCAGTAGGTGATTACCACGGAGAAATGTATGGTCAGATTTTCACCAAACGACTTTATTATTTAAAAGCTATAATCCCAAACTTCAAGCACACAGTGGCGTGGTGATAGACATCGCACCTTATTACACCATTTGCGATGACAAGTTTCCAACTAAGTCAAGTAAAAAAAAAGTGTGATGACGTTAAACATGCCCAGGACTCGCGTGCCCGCAATGATTTTTGTTGCAAGCCATTGTGTCATGTGTAGCACAAACTCTCAACGGAATGGTATTTATATACATGACAAACACGAAGTATCCTTGCATTGAAAATAAATTAATTTCATAAAAATGGAACTGTAAGGATTTGAATTCCACCAAAATGATTGAAGTAACAGCACGCTACCACTACACTACGTCTCACTGCAAAGACTATGGTCAATAAGTATTACTATTATATCCATACACACGTGACTTACCTTTTCTGAAGTGCATTGATCCATATTATATTTACAACGGTTCCGAAATAAATAAACTTCAACAGTAATCAAACCGTTCTCGGGTAACTGTTAGTAAGTGGGCGTCCGTGGCCGAGTGATTAAGGTCGTTGACTTCAAATCACTTGCCCCTCACCGCTGTGGGTTCGAATCCCGACAGAGACTTTGGATTCTTTCATGTGAGGAAGCTATCCAGCTAGCTTACGGAACTTCGGTGGTTCTACTCAGGTGTCCGTTCGTGCCTGAAATATGCACGGAGGGGCACCTGAGGTCTTCCTCCACCAGTAAAGCTGGAACGTGGCGATATGACCTACACTGTGTCGATATGACGTAAACCCCAAAACAAACAAACTGTTAGAAACGGAATAATCAGCAGAGCTACCGCCGTAAAAAGTAACCCTCGGGTCTGTATTGGCAGCCGGTGCAAGATCATTATAATCTAAAATACTTAAATTAAAACATAATACAATGTATAAATGTAATCTTTTCAGTTGTAATTTTTGGTTTAAAGGACATGAAAATAGCATTCAATTACATTTATTTATAAGTTTTATGAAATTCTTATCAAATTTAACTAATTTTTCCGATTACGTGACTTGTTTCGCTAAGCTTGTTTACCTAGGTCACTTATATACAAAATATCTATACATGTTTCAAATATATTCATGAATATGTCTTCCAGGGGGGGGGGGGATGTGTTACACGAGGGATGGAGTGCTACTGATAACTTGTCAAGGAGTTCTGGTGATAACTGTCACGGAGTTCGTCGGAAAACTATTGTATATACTGCAAAACACTCTCAAAAATGGTAATTTTCATCTTTAAAAAGTGAGTTTTAGGTGCTAAATTAAACTTTAATGATTAAGCTTGTCTTACATATTGTATGATTATGTGTCAAAAACTAATTCATAGTCCAATTTCCATAGCCTCTTGCTTAAAATCTGGTAGTTTTGAATAAAAATTTCAAATTATTTGCCAATTCGCAGGTATTGACCTGTTTATTTCAAGTCTTCATCCTTGCCATACATAATTACCTAATGATAATGCAAAATTGTAAACATTAAGCCCCGGCTAACAAATTTATACCGATTTTTCAAATGTCCCGGAGTTCTTGTGATACCTCAAAATATGTCCTGGAGTTCTTATGATAACTTTTGTTACTGCCAATGTGTTTCTTGTGCTAAATTAAGGTACGTTTTAGCGACAATGTGGTGATTGTCTGTCACATGGCACAAATCGGCAACCATTAATTAAAGTACATGTATATATTTAATTTGGTAATCATCCTACCATAAGAAATATTGTCACCTGTGCCAAATACTGTGAGTACAAATATATCTCCTGCGCATGTTCCTATGTAACATGTAATCCACTTCTCTAAACCATAACTTGCAGGAACCAAAAACTCCTCAAAAACTGCATATCGTCGGGTTTTTCCCGAGTAATGTTCCTTAGACGATTTTAAAGTTTGTCGGGACTTCTTTTATAACTAATGCAATTTCATTGGAACTTTACAGGATTGACCGGTATCTCAAGTACATTACGCATATTACACGATTTTTCTGGTTGAATGATTTTTTTTTCAAAATAGCTGTATATATTTTAAAGAAAAACTATGCTCATCTTTGAGTAAAATATTTTTATTGCAGAGATTTAATGAAATCTATAAAAATTTTACTGAATATGTTTTATTTTGATATTAGAAATATACAAATCATGTATAGTTATCTGCTTTCTTTAACGCGGGTCAAGTTAATCTGGTCCTATCTTTAAACAAGAGCGATCAGTGATCACATGTGTCGCCTCATGATGGCCAATTTCATGTTGGGACAAGTTTTGTGACAAACGGACAGACAGACGCCCAGTGCACAACTAGACTTGGTACTGATCATTCCACGTAAAGGTTGGATAAAATTGCATCAGTAGTTTATGAGGTGTAGTCCGGACAAGCTTTTGTGTATCTGGCAACACACAGAAAAAACACCTTTTTATCAAAGGGCCATAACTCGGCCAAAATCATTCAACCGGAAAACCCGTGCAATATGTGCAAGGATCGACTTGAGCTACAAATCAATCCTGTAAAGTTTCATTGAAATTGCATTAGTGGTATAAGAGTAGTAGTCCGGACAAACTTTAAAAATTAAAATTATTAAAGGGCCATAACTCTGACAAAAATCATTGAACCAGAAATTGCTGACAATATGCACAACTAGACTTGGTACTGATCATTCCTGTAAAGTCTGGATGAAATTGCACCAGTAGTTTATGAGGAGGTAGTCCGGACAAGTTTTGTGACGGACGGACGGACAGACAAACAGACAGACGACGGAGAAGTGGTCCCTATATGTCGCCACCACTCCGTAGAGGTGACACAAAAAAGCCAGTTTTTTAATGAGACTAGTCTAGTACTGTATATTCATAGTGTGCTCATTTATAATGTGTATGATTTAAAGCATAATATATCTTGGAAAAACGGAGCAAGTGAATGATCTCATTCTGATATTTTGCACAGTTGTTGACCTACATAAAATCAGGTACCTATATTAACATATTAATGCATTATAATTAATATACATACCTGAAAAAAATGGAATATCAATCTTGACTTGCGAAATTATTTTCTATCATGTAAAATAAAACTCAGTGTAGTCCCTTAATGAAAAAAATAAAAAAATCTACAAAACAACAATTTTTCTTCAAATTTATATGAGGTACAGGCCATGTTTAAACATGGAAAAACGCGATTTAGGGTAATTTCAAGTATTTTCATCATTTTCTGTTAACCCATTACTTCATATACACGCCTTTTAACGCCTTCTTCACCCCCCCCCCTTTTTTGTTGTCTCAAATGGTGAAAAAATGCCTTATTTAGGCCCCCAACACTTGTTTTTGTTTGAGAACTAATTTAAAAAAGTGACCACTTTTTCGGCGCGGACCCCCAACCAAAAGATACATCGGGGTTGCCAGAGGGGGGATGTGCCCCCTTCTGTTTGGGGGGTTTGAAGGGGGGCGGAGTCCCCCTCATCGCCAAGAAAATTTTGGACTTGTGAGAGGCTATAAATGACCTCAGATTGATCATAAGGTAACGTGTAACCAACGCTGAAAAGCATTTGACTCTGTCTCAATCCATTGAGAAGTTGCAGCACTTTAAAATCAATTATGATGGAAAAAATCAATGCAAAATAGTGATTTTTGGCAATTTTGAGATGTCCCCTCGTTGCCATGGTAACAGAAAATTTAAGCCTAAGCATGTTGTTGCAAGGGCAATGGTCCAGTCAACATTTGTGCCAAGTTTGATTAGTATTGAAGCAGTTTTTATAGTATTATAGCAATTTGAACTTGTAACGGGAGACTTTTCAATGAAAACAGCCATTTTTCACAAAATGCTCATGAAGTAATGGGTTAATTAGATCGCACAAAATATATACATTATTTCTTTTGGTTAAAATTTTCTTAAAATTATAGTAGATTTTTTTACAATGTTCATTTTCTTGAAATATTTTGGCTCATCCGGTTTAGCCATTTGTTCGCGTTGAGAAGTATAACAGCCGGTCTTTTTCATGTCCTTGGTAAGTAATTGTTACATATCTACAAAATTTAGTCTTAGTTAACCTGTACATTATAGATTATTAAATATTATCAGTTACCTCCCTTTAATAAATATACTGGACAATACAGGCGCTTGAAAATGTTTTCATGAGCATGAGCGTCCTATTACATTGATTGTTCATATGGTAAACAAAAAAAGTAATTCAGAAATATTTGTAAAATATGCAGTTTTTCTTGGCGACATCGTTATAACATCGGTTATAAAATGACACAATCAATTGTTGTACAAGGTACGGTCATGAATAGTTATGTTTGTTTATAAATTTCGGTAGTGTAATGTTATTTCGCGACTTTTAAAAGCAATCTATCTTGATGATTGAGTCAAACCACTGCTGGAGATCTATACTTTGCGTGTCACTAGTATGATGGATTAAAATAGGTATAAAAGCAGGATAAAAGTTTAAAAGAATAAAAACAGGACAGGTGTGTCTAGGGTGATACATTTTTAATCTGGCTAACAGCCTTCCAGACATGACATAGTCTCTGAAGCATTCCAGCAATAAAAGGAAATTTAGTGTGATTATCATAAGAAAATATATAGGATAAGTGTCTCTGAATTCCAAGAATATTGTAAGATAAAATATTTGTTGTTGTTTTTTTGTGATCTTGTTTTAATGACATAGTCTATGCCTGTTAATTATGATACTGCATAGTAATTACAAATAATACACAGATTGACAGTTTCCGAACTAGCAGATGACAGACAATTCTATTCAGTAGAATTGCGAGTAAAGACAACTGATTGCCTATCTCACTGTATAAAACATATGTAAAATGGTTTAACTGTAAATTTAAATACCTTCAGTGTCAAACAATGTGTTGAAATATATACTGAGACAAAGCTAAGATCACAAGCTTTTCATTGATGTAATAAATTATAAAATCATACATTAAAATTGCCCCAAACTAGCGGTTTAAAAAAAGCTAAGTTTGCATTGTTTTAGCATTAGAGATATCGATTCTACTTGAAGATAAGGGAAACAACTTGTGTTTTTTCACTTGATATACCTCGGTTATTTACGTAGTTCATTTAGAAACTGTCAATGGGTGTATTGTGATAATCCCTGCCATGTAATGTGTGGCTCATCAGACTATACCCTTCATTTTTTCACCAACAAAAAAAATTTTGTTGAAGTCAATGTCAGAAAACAGTTAGTGATATCAGAGTATGTGTGAAAATCATGACTATAATACTAGTAATCTGATGATGCCAGGTCAACTTGTCCCATGGTCACAGTGCTTTTTTTCCCTTTATTTTACAGCCGAATAAAGGCTATATTTTCCCCTTAAAATGCCTGTGCACATTCTTCACCAGAACCATGACTTAACAGCAGCTGACACATCAGCTAGAAGATAGAAAGCTGTCCCTATAGAGAGCCTCTGCTATGTACCATGCATGTTAAATTGAATTGAAATTGAAAATGTTATAAAATGTGTGGGTAAAATCCATTCTTAGTTGTTGGAATTTGATTTTCCTTTTTTCTGATTTATTGCTCAATATTTTCCTCTTCAGAAAGCCACAGGTTGTTTTGAAAATTTAAAGAAAAATCACTGGGTCAACTCATCACCATTTTGGTCAGTTCTTTCCCTACCTTTGGTTAACTTGTCCTGTGGTCAACTTCTCACTTTTTTAGTCAACTCATCCCCTTTGTTTGGTCAACTCAATTCAACATGCATTTCAACTGGTCTTTAAATGCACATGTTGTGTATAGCTTTGATATAACCCACTTGTTACATGTTTTAACTTATACTAAAGTAAAACTTTTCTGATAATATATGAACTTTTTGATAAAAAAGAAAATAGGTGACGACTTACAAGTTAAGGGACAAGTTAGGGATAAGTTGACAAAAAATGTGAGATCTTCTCCATATGAAAAAATTAACTGTTGATTTTCCTCAGAATTATTGGAATTGGATTATTTATTTCTTTTCACCATTCAATATGATCTTTAACATCTGTCATATTTGTCAGGCATATAGGTTACATGTACACTGACATTGGCTTATCAGTTACTAGCAGGAGATAAAAGGTAGAAAGTGTTCAGGGCTGATTAAGTAACTGAACTGTAAACTTTAAACCTGTATTCAATATAGATGGGTACTACATTTTGTACACATTTTTAATATCGCTATTCAGTATGATTATTGTATGTATGTGCTGAAATTACCCCTACAAGGGAAAACAGAAGAAATGCCCCTGCTACATGTACATATACTTTACATCAAAAACATCTAGAGACAGCTCTGGGAGGTAAAATTGTTAAAATCTTAAATCATAATATTTTAACTTTATATTTTATCCATTTTCTATCTTTTAAAGTTGGACAGTGTGGAAACCAAATTGGTTGCCGGTTTTGGGACCTAGCATTACGAGAACATGCAACAGTGAATAAGGTACGATCTTGCTTTTATTGTTATTATATATTACACCATTGAACCATTTCATACATTTTTACCCTTAACCTGCTGAAACCAAATGTGGGTAGCCTTTGCCGTCATTATGAAGCTAGGTTAGCCTGCATGTCTGTACAGTGAGCCTGACCAGGCTCTTTATCTGACCATCTTCAATTTTTTTTCTGGATATATATAAAAAATTGACTCAATAAATTTAGCAGGATAAGAGTTATTATTTGATTATTTTGATGGTTGAATTACGTAAGACTGACAATGCAAGAACACATTCCTTGATTCATTCACAGATTACTTGTCCTTCATCAATGTAGGTTCAAATCACATGAGGGATTCTTTCATATTAGGTGGCTATCTATTTAGTTTATCATTTATGGAATGTTTGTGGTTCTACTCTGGTGCCTGAAATAATCATGATAATGCACAAAGCGGCTAATCCTTCTCAAGTAAAGTTGGAAAGTCGCTCCATGACCTCAGTGACTTTAAATCAAATGAAACCAAAAAAGGTTTTTATCAGATGACATAGAGAGGTGTTTTCAGAATAAGTAATTTTCCACATGAAAAAGTACATTTTCAGTTAAATGTTAGGATAAAAGTTGTACTACCATCTAAATGTTGAACATGTTCTTTATTAACTCTTAACATGCTTAATGTCTTAAATGGACTTGTCCATCTTAAAATTTGAACAAAAGCATACATAATTTTAGGAAAATTTCAATACATTTGTATAAACATGTATCAACCAAATAGTGCAAAGTCATGATCATTGTCTGCACAGAATCTGTTGTCACCAGCGGACTAAAAATTGTGTATTTTTTCTTCCAGCATGGAACATATGATGAATCTTTGAGTAGCTTTTTTCGTAATGTTGACAGTAGATTTGATGACCCTGCAAACATTCCTGTTGACCAAGGCACTGGTAAAATTAAGTCACTTAAAGCTAGGGTAAGTATCCAATCTTTCAGGCTAGATAATCAGTGAAAAGCTCCAAATTATATCATTTTTTGCATTTAAGAAAAATGACCTTTGTGCCAATACCAAGAAACATGAATAAGGATGGTTTTGATTTTGTTTGGATTTAAATAATTGCTGAAGGCATATAAGTACTGCACAGTCACTTAATAGATTCTGCAAAATAACTTGTCTGTTGCTGCAAACTAAGGTCAAAGACCAAAGTTTTTAATGCCAAATTGCATTGAACCAAATTATCAAAGAATTCAATGTACATAATAGATCTTATAGCGATTTTCATCTATGACTCAAACTTGTATAATTATAATGCAAGTTGGTCAGTTATAGTATAAAAAATAAGAATTATGATATAATGAATATTAAAATTTTATCACAATTTCATTATTTATAGACCACTTAAGATAATCACTTAAAATTTTACATAACCACTACTGTTTAACTTTCAAGATCTCAATTATGTATTTGAATGCCTCAAAATATTTAAATTGATTATTGGTCTTGGGGAAGTTTTTGTTCAAGTTAAACCTTGTTGTATTATCTATAGGCAGTTCTTGTTGACATGGAGGAGGGAGTTGTCAGTGAGATGATGAAAGGTCCTTTACGGGAGGTGTTTGACTTTAAACAGCTGTTAACAGATGTCTCAGGAGCAGGAAATAACTGGTATTATTTTACTATTAGTCTATGGAATTATTGTATGGAGCATTTATAGTTACTACCTCCCTACTAGTTTGTCCATCCTAGTCACATTGTCTCAACAAGCCTCATTGAGGCCTGGCAAATAACACTATTTCATCTTGCAGGATCGAAGAACAAGGTCACTTTGACCTTGTTTGTCAAAACAGTTAACAACCAATAACTCAACAACCCATGGGCTTTTTTGGACAATAAGGTAAAGCATATTGAAAGTTAGGCCAAACAAATTTCTTACTTTTTTACCATAGCAAAGATGAGCCGACTAGCTGCCGCCTTTTTGTTGTTGCAGACATCAGAATCAGAACTTTTATTTTTTTACATAAATAGGCATCAATATGTCTTGAAGCAAAGTTGTAGTCATGATTATACACCATTTTTTATAATAAGCAGAAATCCTTACATCAAAGAGTAAAACCACATTTCTGACTGTTGAAAGGTGTCCTTAATTTTTTTTTTTTTTTTTTACAGGGCTGTTGGGCACAAGATGTACGGAAGTCAGTATAGAGAACATATAAGCGATATCATACGTCGAGCAGCTGAATTCTGTGATTGTTTACAGTGCTTCTTCATTTTACATTCCATGGGTGGTGGTAAGTCACTGGAGTCAAACACCTTAAATTAATTTCATTCTTAGACATTAATATTATTAGTGTAACTTTGTAGCCAATCTTTTTTCCTTCTTGAAACTGGACCAGTAAAAACAACTAGATCCCAATAAATGGAAATTCCTTTTGTTGCCCAAAACATGGTGCCAACTCATAGAATTTTCCCCCCCTTAAATTGAGTCATTGATCTTTCGGATTCAAAATTGGCTGATGTTGGGAGTCATTATAGCCCAACGTCTGCATGATTAGCTAGGGAGAGTGTTAACCATTATCTTGCTGGAACCAAAAGTGATTAGCCATTGATATTGAAATCCTTAAAATTTTGAATGGACTGTTCCAATTTCTAAGCTGGGCATATCCATTACACATATTCAGCAGATTAAGGGCAAGAACTACGGCCCACAGTTGTTAAAGGATTAAAAGTCAGTGAATAAAAATAGAAAATCAGTTTTCAAAATAAAAGGAAATAACTTTATTTAACTTCATAAATAATTTTATATGGTACAAACATTAACCAACTAATAAATATTGAGAACTCTACAAAGGTAACTTTACAAATAGATTTTTGAATGCATAATGGTAAAATAAATATTGCAAATAGAGGTTTATTTCAGTAAATGAAACGGGAGTATACATGTATACTGAGAGGAAACTTGAATACATTATTTCAGCAGTATGAATAGAATAACTATAATATATAATACCTTCTTAAAAAAATGCATGCTTTATAAGCTGTAAGAACTTAGTACAAAAATGGTCGGCCTACATTACTGGTATATCACCAGGTCAGCAATCACATTTGTGTAGTCTGATAAAACTTCTGTCATATGCAAAATTGTTTAATTTTAATGTTGAAATCCTCTTATCTATGAATGAACAATTCTAAATTCAAAGTGGGACAAGATCATTACACAAAGTTCATTTCACAAATTTAGGTTTGTTAAGATTATTATTAGCAAAAGGCACAGTAACGACTACAGCTTTATACAGTAACACCTGTGAACAAAGGCCACCTAAAGGAAAGACCAAACAGTGAAACATGGCCTTTATAGACAAGTAGTCTTTATTTTTTAGTGATACTATGTCCTATTTAAGTTATTGAAAAATGGCCTTTATTTAATGGATGATGTTTTTTCAAAGGTAGTCTTTAACACACATTTGACTGTATTCACCCAAATGGACATCTGTAGATAGTATATGAATCTTTTGTAAAGTAGATTTATACTTGTGAAATATACATTGACAAAATTTAAATTTTGATAACAAAAAAGTAGTTAAAATTCAAGCTGGAAAGGAAATTTACCAAAACCAGGTCAGTGGGTTATGATGAGAAAGTAAAAATCTAAATTCTAAAATTGAAATAAAAGGAATCTTTGAGCAATATTATATCATATGATGGTATAACATAAATATACTACATCCCCCTATTTGTATTAGAAGTAAAACAACATTAAAAGGAAAGGCACAGGTTTTGATTTTGGAAGCAATCTCTGCATTATTTTCAATATTTTTTATCATATAAAGCACTACACTGTAAAACCAGTATACGAGTTAGGTTTCCAATTGTACACTCTAACCTCACAAAAACCAGTTCCGCACAGTAACACAGCAATGTTATTTTTGGGCGTTACAGCGACGTTGATTGGTTTAACATCTGGACCAATCAAATTTGTGTCCTTGACAAGAGTAGTGTAATAGTGCCCTTTCACTGAGAAGATTTCAACTCTAAAATTAGCCGAGTCAGCAATAATTATGTTGTCTTCAGAATCTGTGGCGACACCTAGTGGGGTATCCAGTTGGTTTAGTTGATTTCCTTTTGACCCAAATGCACGTTTAAAATTTCCAGCAATGTCAAATATTTTAACACAATGATTACCTGTATCAGAAACAACCAGATAATCTTTGCTTGTTGCTGTAATGAAATACGGTTGCATGAAATGATTTTGACCACGACCTTTCCATCCGAATTTCACCGAGAATTTCCGCTGCTCTGTGAATATCAAAACGTTATCAGCAGCCAGGTTTGTTATTGCAACATGATTGGACGGAGTTGTTGTTATTCCACTAGAATTATCAAATTTGTAATAATCTCCATAGACTTGCAGACATCTACCTTCCATAGAATACATCCGCATTATTGCAGAGCCTGATTTTGCAACGGCTATCATTATATTGTTTTCCTTTGTAACTGTCACATCATTCACTGTACAATTAGTATTGAACCTTGATTTTAACTGTCCAGTGTTAGAAAACACAAAAATACGGTTTCCTGCCCTATCTGAGATAATGAATTCACCTTTTGTGCTAACAGCCAACCCAAATGGCTTCATGAAGTCGTTCACACCAGGCCCAAATTTTCCGAAAGATAACGCCATTTTATCTGAACACGGACCTTTACCCTCATTTGCTGAAAGCTGTGGGTAGAGACCTGCACCTGTATATTGAGGCTGTGGAGGTTTTTGATCACCAGGTTCTGAAATAGGGACAAATTCAAAAGGTGATTCAGGAGCATCAGAAGCCGGTTTTGCTTTAGGAAGTTGAAGATAGCCGGAGATATCTGATATAGCAGAACCTACTGCACCCACAACACCACCAATGCCGCCTGAAATAAGATGACTAAAATTATATCCTGATGAAGGGTCCCCACACTGATGTTGCTGCTGTATATCTCTTGAAGTGTCTTGTAAATTACTGGCATTGGCCGGAGTTGGGCTCACACTTTTCGGTCTAGGGGGAACTGGTGGAGCAATGGTGCCACTTGAAGGTCTCGGTGATACAGACCGAGGCGCTGGTATTGGTCTGTCACCATTTGATCGTGGTGAAATTGATCTAGGAGCTGGCACTGGTTTTAATCTATTTTCAGCAGCTTGGTTAACAGCCTCATCACTTGGTCTTTCAGGCACTTCAGATTTATTATTTGCATCTTCCACGGTATCAAGAAGGCTAGATACCATGTAATTATCAGGTAAACCTGGAACAATAAATGGTACATTCTTAATATTCATAATAAAACATACCTGTTATTATGCTTTGAGAAATTTGCTCACTTGAGATGCCATTTATTGATTTATGATTGATGAAATGGTGAAAAAAATGGAAATTACATAGATCTTTCCATCATAAATTTAAGCTCTATTGAGGTCATGAACATAAATGTGTTCTCATGAAACACGATTTATTTGTCCAGAAAAGGTAATTCAAGGTTGTTTTAATAGCCTATTTCATTATCAAGGCTGAAATTTATTATTAAACACAAACATAGGTTTACTTAATAGGTTATGCTGTTGGCATATAGCCTTAGTAAAGATGTACACATTGTATTTGTCACAGGTTAATCTTCCGATATAGTTATCATAAATATCCTTTAAATCTAAGTAAACATTACATCGAAGTTTACCATAAAAATATCATGTAAAAAATTTACCTTGTAATCCTTGAGGTGGAACAGTCACATCAGCTCGACAAACTGGGCAAGGAAATGAACCAGTGGTGGAATAGTTGCTGGTTACATAGTCTTGTAGACATTCTAGACAAAATGTATGGATGCACGGGAGAGCTTTTGGATGTGTGAACTCGTTAAAACATATTGAACATGTCAGATAATCTTCTCTGATCCGACTACGAAGTGTCAAGCCCTTATCAATGTCCGACATAATGTGTAGGTGTCTTTACGACTGAAATTGAATATAAAAGAAGTGAAAAAAAACAGCACTTCTTTATGACCTGTCTACAGAAAATTGGATTAAATGATTTGAATGCTAGTCTTCCTTTAACCAAACATTTTTGGAATACAATCTAATTTTCTACAGACACTGTCGATGCCCTACATTTATGTATGAAGTATGTAGTAGAATGAATTGGCTAAATTGATTAGTGTTTTTACCCCACATTTAAATAAAATGCTTTAACATTTAAATGAATGTTTTAGCCACAATTACTTACATTTCATAGGTATTTAGTATCCAATAAGTTTTACACTAGACTAATACTTATTTCCTCAAGTTTGATTATACATGTATAATAATATGATTGATATTTAGTCACTTGAATTTGGAGGAAACTAACTGCCCTCAAGTTGATGAGTCATATTACAATTTTCAGCAAGTTTGTTTATTTCCCATCATTACTTTTTCATAAATATATTATTTTAAAAACGTTTAAATTGGCCGGCAGTGATATTCCAGTTTTAAATTTCATGCTTAAAGTGAAAACATACCTGTCCAAAGTGCATCATCAGGAAGTGGGTCATTTAGAATTTGGATTACTTCCCCTGGAAAAGAATAATCTGAATATTTGACTTATGTTCTCCAGCTAAAATATGGTGTAAAATCAGCATTTGTTTAAATTGTCATTCCACTGAGTTCTTAAGTCATGTTTAGTACTGTTTTGAATCTTAGTCAGTGTAATTTTAAATGATTGAAAAAGAAAATGTTTACATCAACAACCTACCTCCTTTGTGAAGAGTAATAAGGGAGAAGTTCATAATATTTGGGTTGAAGGCCACTATTTTTCCTTTTTTTATTGTGGTTGCAGATCACTAATTGTTTTTATGCTATAAACTGATTTGCTAGACACAGTATTAAATTTCATTTGTTTGTATCTATAACTTATAATATTATTAAAATGCTATATTTTTAGCACTCGGATGTATGCTAATCTTATAGTCTATTTTTTACTATTATTCTATGTTACAGGCACAGGGTCTGGAGTGGGAACTTTTATCTTAAACTTATTAGAAGAGGAATATCCTGATGTTTACAGGTGAATATATTGCTAATATTTATTATATTTATCTCTGAGTTCAGAAATAAGTACCAACAGCTAGTCCAAGCTGTTAATAACAATCATAACAATGTCAACTGTTCAATATAATCTATATTATGACCATGGCCAAGTGATTAAGGTTGCTGGCAAGTAACCTGCCACACACTTCCAGTTATCTGCCACACACTTCCAGTAACCTTCCACACACTTCCAGTAATCTGCCACACACTTCCAGTAACCTGTCACACACTTCCAGTCACCTGCATTGCGCTTCCAGTAACCTGCCACACACTTCAAGTCACCTGCCATGCGCTTCCAGTAACCTGTCACACACTTCCAGTCACCTGCCATGCGCTTCCAGTAACCTGTCACACACTTCCAGTCACCTGCCATGCGCTTCCAGTAACCTGCCACACACTTCAAGTCACCTGCCATGCGCTTCCAGTAACCTGCCACACACTTCAAGTCACCTGCCATGCGCTTCCAGTAACCTGCCACACACTTCCAGTCACCTGCCATGCGCTTCCAGTAACCTGCCACACACTTCCAGTCACCTGCCATGCACTTCCAGTGACCTGCCACACACTTATAGTAATCTGCCACTCACTTCCAGTTATATCTGCCACACACTTCCAGTAACCTGCAACACACTACCAGTTTCTGGCTCGGCACTTCCATTAACCTGCCATACACTTCCAGTAACCTGCCACACACTTCCAGTAACCTGCCACACACTTCCAGTAATCTGCCACACACTTCCAGTTACCTGCCACACACTTCCAGTAACCTGCCACACTTCCAGTTTTCTGCCACACACTTATAGTAACCTGTCACACACTTCCATTTTTACCTGCCACTCACTTCTAGTTTCTGCCACACACTTCCAGTATCCTGCCAAACACCTCTAGTAAATTGCGACACACTTCCAGTTACCTGCCACACACTTCCAGTTACCTGCCACTTACTTCCAGTTACCTGCCACACACTTTCAGTTTCTGCCATACTCTTCCAGTATCCTGCCACACATTTCCAGTAACTTGCCACACACTTTGAGTTACCTGCCACACACTTGCAGTAACCTGCCACATACTTCCAAGTTTTGCCACACACTTCCAGTAACCTGCCACACACTTCCAGTAACCTGCCACACACTTTGAGTTACCTGCTACACACTTCCAGTTATCTGCCACTCACTTTAGTGTTTTGAAATTCGGAAATGCAATATAAATGTATACCTTTTATCAGGTATGTTATCTGACTAGCTGATGCAAGGTTGGTGGTTTAACAAATATAAGGCTTTAGAGGGAGTCAACAGAGATTTTTTCCTCCATTGCAAAAGTGCCATATGAACTTTATGCAGCTCTTTATTTGAGATACAAATTTCTAGCATATACAGGCCTTCAAATTCAGAATTTTGCACATCATTTTATAGGGGCTCAAATCAACCCCCTTCCCATGTTAACTAGGCCCAATACTAGTCACCCTGGGTCACAATTATTATACATTCTGATTGATGATCAGTATACTCTTTTATTAATTAGAAAGCTGGTGTTTGTTGTTTTATCGAAATGGCAAGAAATGTGAACATTTCGATCATTTTCACATCTAAGTTGGTAATTTTTAGGTTTGGATTTTTGTGGTGCTTTTTTTTTTCAGGGAAAGATTGACTGTAAATCGTAAATAAATCCGTTACAAGTTTATAACAGATTTGATAGAAAATGTTTATGATATAAAAAGTGCAATGGTGTGTTGGAGAAGTTAGCTCAACTTTTTCACGAAAAAAGTAAAGCAAGAAATAAATTTCTTTCATTCTTGAATAGTACTTTATCAAAATTTATCATACCATATTTCAGGTTTGTAACAGCAGTATATCCGTCAGTTGATGATGATGTAATTACCTCCCCTTATAACAGTGTTCTAGCAATGAGAGAACTAACTGAAAAAGCTGACTGTGTTCTGCCAATAGAAAATCAGGTATATGTTAAAATGATTACCTCCCTTTAATGATTTTTTTTTGCTGTTTGTGATTTGTCTCCCTTTATTAAATTGTTTTATACTTGTTGTCTCCTGATAGATTTACTAAAGTTGTTGATCATATTTAATTTTGTTTTTAATTATTACCAAATTATCATACAAAATAAATCAGTTTTGATTTAAATGAATGAAGCTTAAACAGCAAATGTTGCTATACAATTGAAATATGATATGTTCTTGCCTGGATTATTTCCATCAGATTACTGAAAACATATATACCATTATTTTACCCATAGTATTCCATAATTGTACAAAAAATAAAGTGTTTTCCTGTAATAATACAGCTTATAGAGGTTTATGAACCAGTTAAGGCACTCTTTAGTTTGTTCTAAACTATTTATTTCCTTACCATGGCTAACAAACGTATTTTGATTGAAACAGTACACTTGTAGAATAAAGGGATCTCGTGTATTAAACACGTCTATACAGCCATGTACAATAAAGAGCATATTTGGCCTAAAAACATACTGAACTTGCCATGTGTCACGGCGAAGTTGTCGGGCAAAAGCAATACATAGCTTATGTTAATCCGACAATAAACAAACATTGACTTGACTTGACTTGCTTGACCAATATGGTTTTTCCAGTTGGATACTTTTCCAAATATATCTTCTTATTGTACAGAACACTGTATTAACATAAGTAAACTAGACCATTAGTGCAACTGTTCACACTATATAAATACACTAATTATATGAAGTAAATTCAACCAAAAAACACAAGGCAGTCTGAGATAACATTAATAACATCCAAATCTTCATGAAGAATGGTTACTAAAATTAAAAAATGTTGTTTTTTTCCCCAGGCATTAGTTTCTTTAGTTAATAGAATCAATCAAGCAATTCCTCCATCAAAGACTGGAAAGCGGACATATTCTAGTGTGGGTGGTGAAGTGAAAGCTGGGAGTGCTATAACAACAAGTGACGGAGGTGTGGTGAAACCGGCCAATGAAAAACCATTTGATACCATGAATAATATCGTTGCTAATTTATTATTGAATATGACAAGGTTTGTTTCTTTGTAATCATTGATCAAACATTGCATGATTATAGATAGATAAATTTATTTCAATATACAATGGCATAGGCATATAGCACACCATAAAATATGAAAACAAAGATTAACACAAACAGATACAATATGTATGAATTGATAAATATCCCTGCCAAACAACATTATATATCGAGGATTACACAAAAAAAGCTCTAATTTCCAAGTTAAAGTCTGAAACTGTTAGTTTAGGTTTGCTGACCTTAGACCTGAAAGGTCAAGCTCTAGTTTTAGGGCATGTATTTTTTTGTGTCAGTCAGGGTCAAGTTGTTTTTATGCTCCCCGAAAAATTTCGGGGTAGCATAAGGTCGGCGCCTTGTCCGTCTGTCCGCACAAAAAGTTTAGGTATATGAGCTAACTAATGGTACACTGTGAGGACTTCATTCCGTAAATAATAGTTAGCTCATAAGGAAACAATAGTTAGCCCACAAGAAAACAAAAGAAAAGAACAATAGAAATAGCTCATAAACCTGAAAAATTGGTATGGACATCCGTCCGTCCGTCCGTCCGTCTGTCTGTCCGTCCATCTGTCCGTCCGTTGTCTTGTCCGGAGCATAACTTGAAAACCCTTGGATATAATTTGTTGAAACTTCATACAGTGGTAGAGGGCATTGAGGGGGAATGCAGTGTCAAAGAACCATAACTCTTTTTTGCCCGGATTTTGAATTATCTCCCCTTATAGAAAAATCTTGTCCGGGGCATAACTCTAAAACTATAAGAGATATCAACATGAAACTGTGTAGGTGAATAGATCTCAATGGGTAGATGTGCAGTGCATAAGAATAATAACTCTTTTTGTCCTAATTTTGGAGTTATTGCCCTTTGTTAATTTTAACACTTTGAACTTTGTCCGGAACATAACTCTAAAACTACCGTATAAGAGATATCAAGATGAAACATTGTAGGTAGATAGATCTCATTGAGAAGAGGTGCAGTGCAAAAGAACCATAACTCTGTTAAGCCTCATTTTTGAATTATCTCCCCTTTTAGAAAAGTCTTGTCCAGGACATAGCTGTAAAACTATAAGAGATAGCAACATGAAACTTTGTAGGTAGATACATCTCAATGGGTAGGTGTGCAGTGCACAAGAATCATAACTCTGCCTTGCCTAATTCTGGAGTTATTGCCCTTTGTTTATTTTTACTTTTTGAAGTTGTCCGGGACAAATGGAAATCATAAGAGATATCATCAAGAAACTTTGTAGGTTGATAGATCACATTGATTAGAAGTGCAGTGCAAAGAACAGTAACTCTGTCTTGCCTAATTTTGGAATTATTGCACTTTGAACTTTTTCCAGGGACATTACTCTGAAACTACAAGAGGTGTATTTTCCTGTGTCCAAAACCTATTCGGGGAGCATCACCCGGCTCGAACAGTGCTCTTGTTTCTACAGTCACTTTCAGATTTATCTAGAAAAAATGGCTGTTATTTGTGGAAACACTGGATAGAACTGGTACAGATTCCTGCATATTTGTTATGAAACTTCGCACTGGTAGATAGCTAATACGTGTATGCTGTTAAAGTGGCACAAACTTAAATGAAAGTTACAAAATATCTCTAACATCTGTATAAAGTGAATTTTGTGAAGATGTTCGTTTAACTTGATGATAAACATGTTTGTACTCAGGGCTCTCTCTGTTTTAGGGGAACCTGTACAAGGGGGAATTTTCATTTGGTTTTCCCTTTTTGGGGGAATGTCAGGCAATTTTTGCTGCAAATACATACAACAGCATTAAAACAAGAAAGTACTAAAAAGTTCTTGTCTATTATAATAAACTACTAAATAGTTCTTACCCGCACTTGGAGATCATTTTCATTAAAAATAAAGGGCTCCAATTCTAAGCAAGACAAGTCCATCAAACAAATTTTGGTGGGAAAACGTTAAAAGAAAATTTGATGTGAAAATGAAGGTAATACAATGTCAAGAAGAAAAAACACACTTTGAACAAGGACTAGCATGACTGTCTTTTATTCAGTATTTAATATTTAATTAAATGTAGACTTGTTAGAATAAACAAGAAGTAATCAGCATTTTTGGTTTCCATTACAAATTCTGTTCTTGAATTTGATTTATAACGTTACATTCATAATTTTAGACATCTGTATCATTGTTATTGTATATTCTAGTTATTAATATCATTGCATTTGTGACCTAATCTTTTACATCATTTATTTTGTAACTTTTAGCTCGGCCAGATTTGAAGGATCATTGAATGTTGATTTGAATGAGATAACAATGAATCTTGTACCGTTCCCACGACTACATTACCTCGTGTCCAGTCAGTCACCACTTTTTACGCTGTCTGACGTGAATCTTCCACCAAGAAGGTAAGGAATATTTTGACTGGCCGAGATCAACTTTGGTTAAACAATAATCATAATAATAAAGACTTTATTTAAAGAGGCAACACAGTTGGGCATGTCCAGTCTTCTCTATGAGCCTCTATCAAATATACAATGTTCAAAATATAAATTATGAGAAACAACAAATAATTTTATGAAGAAAAAATGCTTCTTTACTAATTATTGTTTGTTCAATGGAATTATACATGTACAGTTTAACTTGCTTTGACCAATTCTGAATTGTAGAAATTATGTTAATATTTTTTACTTCCTATTAAAAGTTTCTTAGTTTATTAATGCATTCAGTCATCAGTCATCACTTAACTATTTCCATTGTACTTGTAAATGTAGAAATGGAATTAATGAATACCGTATAAATACATATTTCTGCGGGCTTAATATTCTGTGATTTTTGTTAAAATAAGAAGAATTTTTGCTTATCTTATTTCTGCGGTGTCATCATTCTCACATTGATGCGATTTATTTCCATGTTTTAATTAAGATATTTGTACAGAAACAGACAACATTTGAAGATTTGTTGATGTTACATTACTTCCGGTTAAAAATGCTGACGACTTATAATGTGTTTCGTTGACATCATCATATATCGGTATACATGTATACACCTTAATAAACAAAACACAACAACTTTCAAACCCAATTTGAATAAAAGAACGTCGATCATTTCATTTAAGTGGACATATGTAGATAAGTATGAATAAAAAACAATGACAAAATCGCACATAGACACAAGATCTTGTACAAATACAAAAAAGTATGTTTATTACAGGTTTTAATGGCAATAACAAACAATGGTCATTTTTTTATCCAGTCTTTGATAATGATACATGAATTGTTTATTATATTTTAAAATGAAAAAAATAAAACAGCGCGATAAACAATGGTGTAAACTGCACATGAACACATTTTTAGTAAATGCAATTATATACAATATAATTCTTATCAAGTATTTGTTAATAATATAAAATTATTCTTCAGAAAAAATGATATCTATTTAAACAAAAAGAACAAGCAGAGAAATTATTTTTAGCTCACCTGTCACAAAGTGACATGGTGAGCTTTTGTGATTGCTTTTCATCCGGCATCCGTCCGTAAACTTTAACTTTAAACAACATCTCCTCAAAAACCCCTAAGCCAGTTTCATTCAAACTTCACAGGAATGTTCCTTTGGTAGTCAACTTTTAAAATTGTTCAAAGAAATTAATTCCAAGCAGAACTGTGGTTGCCATGGCAACCAAAAGAAAAAACGTAAGAGCTAGAGCTTAAATATTTGGCATGAAGCATCATCTAGTCAGTTTCTACCAAGTTTGTTCAGATAAATGCCCTTGGGTCAAAATTGGCCCCGCCCGGTGGGGGGGGGGTCATTGATTTTCCTTATTTGTATTTAGTAAAAACTTAAAAAATCTTCTTTTATAAAACCCAAATAGCTAGAGCTTAGCTATTAAGCATGAATCATCTTCTAGTGGGTGTGGATCAAGTGTGTTCAAATAAAAGCCCTGGGGTCAAAATTGGCCCCACCCCAGGGGGTCATTGTTTTTCCCTTTATGTATATAGTAAAAACTTAAAAAAATCTTCTTTTGAAAAATCTTTACAACTAGAGCTAAGATATTTAGCATGAAACATCTTCTAATGGGTTTCTATCATTTTTGTTCAAATAAGGGCCCTGGGGCTAAAATTGGCCCCGCCCCGGGGATCATTGATTTTCTTTATATGTACATGTATATAGTAAAAACTTAAAAAATCTTCTGTTAAAAAACCCAAAGAGCTAGAGTTTAGATATTAAGCATGAAATATCTTGTAGTGAGTGTCTACCAAGTTTGTTCAAATAAAAGCCATGGGGACAAAATTGGCCCCGCCAAGAAGGGGGGGGGGGTCATTGTTTTTCCCCTATATGTGTATAGTAAAAACTTCAAAAAACTTCTTAGAGCTAGAGCTTAGATATTTATCATGAAACATCTTCAAATGGGTGTCTACCAAGCTGGTTCAAAAAAAAGCCCGTGGGTTAAAATTGGCCTGCCCCTTGGCCTATATACAGGTGAGCGATTTTAGGGCCATCATGGCTCTCTTGTTGTGCCCCCTTCTGTTTGGGGGGTTTGAAGGGGGTGAGTCCCCCTCATCGCCAAGAAAATTTTGGACTTGTGAGAGGCTAAAAATGACCCCAGATTGGTCATAAGGTAACATGTAACCAACGCTGAAAAGCATTTGACTCTATCTCAATCCATTGAGAAGTTGCAGCACTTTGAAATCAATTTTGATGGAAAAAATCAACGCAAAATAGTGATTTTTGGCAATTTTGAGATGTCACCTCTAGCCATGGTAACAGAAAATTTTAGCCCGAGCATGTTGTTGCAAAGGCAATGGCCCAGTCAACATTTGTGCCAAGTTTGATTAGTATTGAAGCAGTTTTTATAGTATAATAGCAATTTGAACTTGTAATTTGGAGACTTTTCAATAAAAACAGCCATTTTTTACAAAGTGCTCAAGAAGTAATGGGTTAAAATACTCAAACATATACATAGGGAAAGGCTTAATTTACTGCGGTTTTTAAATCTGTGGTGTCTTAATAAACCGCAGAGATAGCAGAAATAAAAAGTTCCCGCAGAAAAAAGTACTTATACGGTATATATTGAACTACATTTTGCAGAATTAATTTTTGAATTGACATCATTTTGTTCATTGCTGGCATATATATTACTTTTACAAACATTTTCCTTTGATACCTCCATGTATAATATAATTAATATAATTATTACATTCAAGGACCTAAGTCTTTGTTAAAGGAAAATAAGAAAATATAGGAAATAATGACATCAGTGTTAGATCATGATAACAGATTCTCTTAAAATTATTTTCATGTAATTAGATATACATGAGTATGCACATCTCAATAATGCATGAAATTGCTTTGAATTTATTGCAGACTGGATCAAATGTTTTCCGATGCATTTTCAAAAGATTATCAGCTATTAAAGACAGATCCGAAGCACAGTCTGTATCTGGCATGTGCTCTTATGGTACGAGGAAATGTCGAGGTGTCTGATGTTAGGCGCAATATAGAGAGGTAAAGATTTTATACATGTAAGACTTGGGAACTGAATATATTAACTTAAAGTGTCTATAGGTTTTTCTTCTTTATTATTACCACTCAGTTGGCTTGTCTATGTCTAGGCTTAGCAAAAATTAAAGGATCTTGGGACTTAAAACGAAACTAAAGAACACAATGATGTTTATCCTATAACAACAAGGATCCTTGTCTCTTTATACAGCAAAAGAAAATAACAAAAGGACTTGTCCCTTGTTTTCATTCCTGTCATTTCAAGGCTTATCTGTCTTTATGTTGGCTTTTTGTACTGTCCATAACCTTGTTGTCATTCATGGATGAAATTTAAAATAATTTTGCACACTGAGATAATGTGTCACATGCAAGACCCAGGTTTGTAACTGGCTGTCCTGGATATTTGATCTAACCGGTCTCTTATCTTTATCTTTCCAATTTCTCTGCAAATGAACAAGCTTGTGTTTTAAATTACTGAAAATTTATTTGCAAATGTTTATTAGTCCCCTACCGGTTTACCGGAGGGGACTTTAGGTTTACCCTCCGTCCGTCTGTCTGTCTGTCCGTCCGTCCGTCTGTCGGTCCGTCCGTCAGTCCGTCCACAAAAATGGATCCCGCGATAACGCAAAAATTACTGAAAATATTTTATTGAAACTTGATATATGGATAGATGGCAGTATGGAGATTATGCAAGTCTTTTTGTTTTCTTCCTATGTTGAAAATTCTGGTTGTTATGGCAACAAATAGACTGAAAATATGGCAAATTTTACACATAACCTGGATCCCACGATAACGCAAAAAGTACTGAAAATATTTTTATGAAACTTGATATATGGATAGATGGCAGTATGGAGATTATGCACGTCTTTTTGTTTTCTTCCTATGTTGAAAATTCTGGTTGCTATGGCAACAAATAGACTGAAAATATGGCAAATTTTACACATAACCTGGATCCAGTGATAACACAAAAAGTACTGAAAATATGTTTATGAAACTTGACATATGGGTAGATGGCAGTATGGAAATTATGCACATCCTTTTCTTATCTTCCTATGTTGAAAATTCTGGTTGCTATGGCAACAAATAGACTGAATTTCAAGATTTCTGATTCTAGTTTTTAAGTTTTTTCACTATAAATTCTTTATTTCTTAAGGTATTTCTTCAAACTTTAAATATAAGTTGCTTGTCATCAACCACATCATATGTGACAAGGTTTACAACTCTAGCACAAAATTTATCAGAATTACCTCCCTTGAACTTAAAATTTTCATGAAAAAAACATTGTTTTTTTTTTAATAACTTCTTTTTCTGAATGTATCTACTTCAAACTTCATATAAATGTTTCTTATTATCACTCAACATCACTCAACATTTGTGAGTGTTCAATACTCTAGCAAGACTATTTCCAGAATTATGCCCCTTTTGAACTTTTTTTTTGAGAAATTGGTAATTTTTACTCCAACTTCTTCAAACATGATAGGATTTTAAAAATGTTATATTTTGATAAAAGGGATGTTTAAAGAATAACTTTAGAGTGTCCTTCAGTCCGTCTGTTTGTACATAAAAACTGTTTCCTTTGATCACTTTTAAAGAACTTTTTCAACAAATTTACTTAAAATAGGAACCTAAGTGAATGGCCAATGGCCCTTCAGAATGTTGCTTGGGCTCTTACCGGTAGGGGACTTATGGATTGCTTGCAATACTATGATAATTGCTTGTTTGATTTCTTTTAGGTTAAAACCAAATTTAAAGTTTATACACTGGAATACAGAGGGATGGAAGACAGGCTTGTGTTCAGTACCGCCAGTCGGACAGTCATATTCTCTCCTGACACTGGCAAATAACACATGTATACACAATAACTTTACAGAACTCAAAGATAGATTTGTAAAACTTTATAAAAGAAAGGTAATGTCTTTTTTTCAAGCAGTATATTTTCTTGTATTTTTAGCTCACCAGAGCACAGAAGTCACATTGTGAGCTATTGTGATACCCCTGTATCAACTTTTTACATTTTTACAACATTTAAACAACATCTTCCACTGAACCATTTGGCCAATAGTGTTGAAATTTTACAGTAATGATCCTTTGTTGGTCCTCTATAAAAAATGCTCAAATAGTTCTGGTCTTCTGATCAACATGGCCACCAGAGCTAAAAATAGAAAAACCTTTTAACCAACATCTCCTTTGTAGATTTTGATGAAACTGTGCAAAGATTATTATTAGGTAATCCTTTTAAAATTTGTTTGGTCTAATACAGAAATAAGACTTAGATCTACATGCCTCCAGATGAGTCAAAATATTTCAATAAAATCAAACTTGAGAAAAATGTACTAAGATGTAAGGAAAAGTAAAAAGTTTCAAGATTCAAGTAATACTTTACATATTATGTGACTGATTTTTCAGTATTTACAGAAATATTTCTACTGCGTTGCTAAAGCAGTAAAGGCTATTTATGCATATTTTGATCACTTTGAGGTAATTTATGTGGTTTGTAAGTGCCATTGATAACGTGTAAATTGCTTCCTTTTGGTTACTTCATAATATTACAAATTATACAAATGACATCTCTTGGATCCCTTGGCTGATCCTGAAAAAAAAACGAAAAAAAACTTTAAATTGGAATATCCTGGTAATTAAATCTTGTCCATATAGACCAACCATATCTTCTGTTGAGCAATAAGGACCATCATGGCCCACTTGTTATTTAACTCATTCACCTTCAGAACATGAGCCTATTTGGATAATAGCACATTTGGTAAAGCTTTTTCCCTTTTTTGTCATTACAAATGTATTTATTTTATGTTTTGATCATTAAAATTTGCACATAATCAAAATTATTGGCATTTTTATCTTAGAATGATTATTGTGAGGGTCTTTTTTCTGTTAGCCAAGGGCTAGTTGCTCTGTCAATATTTGTTCTTTCTTAACTCTAAATTATCTCCCTTCCTCAGATTTTGTAATCCAGCAGGCTGCTGGAAAATAAAATAATAATAAAAAAAAGAATAGATATTCAGATGTATTTCATATTGTTGTGTTTTTTTGTCTTAAGAAAAGAAAGAAGCACACCTGTTACATGTTTTAAACAATGATATAAATGTAGACTGTAACTTCCGAATTCTAGTATTCTATTGCCCTGAAACTTCTGAAAAACATAGACTTTTCTATTGAAAAACTTCCAAATTCTGGACCTTTCTATTGCCCTGAAACTTCTGAAAAACTTCCGAATTCTAGACCTTTCTATTGCCCTGAAAATTCTGGAAAGTTCTTCTCAGGTTCCTGCTTGTGCCTGAAATAATGCACAAAGGGACACCTGAGGTCTGCCTCTACCAGTGAAGCTTGGAAGTGGGCAAATAACATTTACAGTGTCTGTGTGACTTAAAAGTCAAACAAAAACAATTCTGAAAAGTGAATTAATTTGTGGATCCTGAAAATATTCTGTGTAACTCTTGCTTTGTAGAGTCTAGGTTACATCAATTCAAATGTACTTCCAACATCTAGAAATAGAAAATTATAGTAAAAGATTTAAAAAAATGTATTTTTGGTGGAAATATTCTTTCGCTTGACTATTTAAAGAATAGAAAGTTATTGTACTCCACCCAATGTTGGTGTTGGCGTCACAATTTGGTTAAGTTTTTGCATGCAAGTTGTTATGTCAAAAACTACTGAAGGAATTGGGTTGAAACTTCACTTACTTGTTTTCTATTATGATTTAACATGAGGGGCATAGTTCCCATAACTCTTATCATCCTATGGCACTAATAAAGAGTTATGTCCATTTTCTTACTGTCAAGCACTGAGAATAGTCAAGTGGGCTATCTTACAGACAGCTCTTGTTAATGTATATCAATTAAAAGTGTAAATTATTGTATTTTTCAGGCTCATGTTCATCATTACACACATGTAGAAGGGATGGAGATGTCTGATTTTTCTCAAAGTCTCGAGTCTCTTAATTCTATAATACAAGAATACTCTGACCTTGAAAAACAAATGTTTAACCCACCACCTCCAGAACCCAGACTTCAGGTGATCACATGATTTGTACCTTGAAAAATAATTGATAAATAACATTCCTCCAGAATCTAGACTTCAGTCAATTACTTACTTGTGACCAGACTTTGATCAGTTTAAAACTCAGGAAAAAAAGTGATTTAGTCAAAACCTCTATTGGAAAGGCAAAATGAAAAAGGTTGGTTTTTCATTGACAGTTGGTCTCTAAAGTCAGGTTTTTTTTTTACTAATTTTTAGATTAATTTTTCAACTATTTAAATTTATGTTATTGCTATTCAAGTGCAAGTGTAATGCAGATATGAATGTTTTGCAAGTATGATTATAATTCATGCAAAATTTCAGACATGGACACATCAACATGACTTTTACTTAAACATAAACATTACATAAACATGAACATTTCTTACACATCAGACATAAACATTACTCAGACATGGTAATTATTTACACATGGAGATTAGTAAAACATGGACATCACTTAGACATAAACATTACATAAACATGAACATTTCTTACACATCAGACATAAATATAACTCAAGACATAAACATTACTCAGACATGAGCATTATTTACACATGGAGATTAGTAAAACATGGACATCACTTAGACATAAACATTACATAAACATGAACATTTCTTACACATCAGACATAAACATTACTCAGACATGAGCATTATTTACACATGGAGATTAGTAAAACATGAACATCACTTAGACATAAACTTTACTTAGACATAAACTTTACTCAAAGATGAACATTACTTAGACATGAAAAATCTAATACATGAATATATCTCAAACAAGAACATTACTTAGACATGACCATTATTCATTATGATGTACTATATTTTGATTTACCATATTTATAACAGAGATCTGTCCTGTATGTGTTTAATTTTCTAGATCTGCCCTGTATTTTTATTCATAATGTTTGTACATGTATTTTGAAGATCTGTCCTGTATTTTCTATTCTTTATATTTTGTATCTTGAAGATCTGCCCTGTATTTGACCTAATTATAAATTGACCTAATTATAAAAAGTATTTTTTTTAGCTCCACTTTTTAAGAAGAAATGTAGAGCTATTGTCATAACCCTCCCACAGGTGACAACCTCAGCATTGATTAACATATTTGAGCCGCGTCACGACAAAACCAACATAATGGGTTTGTGACCAGCATGGATCCAGACCAGCCTGCGCATCCGCGCAGTCTGATCAGGATCCATGCTGTTCGATTACAAACCCTATATCAAGTAGAGAAACTGATAGCGAATAGCATGGATCCTGATCAGACTGCGCGTATGCACAGGCTGGTCTGGATCCATGCTGGTCGCAAACCCATTATGTTGGTTTTGTCGTGACGCGGTTCATTTCTCAAAAACTGTCAAAGATATTCATTTTAAAATTTTATAACTTGTTCCCTATCAAAATTGAAATGCATTGCCTAAGGGCAGATAACCCTGAGAATCAATTTACTTTAATTATTTTCCTTTTTTAACTTGACATTTACAAAATATTCTATTGAAATTTGAAAACTTTTTTTTCTTGTGAAGGGGCATTTAAGTCTGCCTAGCTCTATACATGTATATTCACATAATTATAGAAGACGTGTTTTGTTTTTTTCTGTGAATAAATTTGTATAATGTAAAATGCAGAAGTGATCACAATATTTAATAAAACCATGTTAGCCTGTGACCTATAGAAGGTTTGAGAGCATTTGTTGTTAAGAGCAATTTAGTTGATAGTTAATTGTTGCTTTAAACATTTATTTTTAAACTTCCTTTTATATGTCTTTATTTGACTTGAGATATGTTGATGTATTTATTTATGAGAAACGTATTAAAAATGAATACATGAAATATTGTTTTTTTGACTTGTCATTATTCATTCGCAACCATCACATTTATCTATACCAACAAATTTTTGTCCGCTGAGCTCAAGAAGGGGTCCGAGACCATGGGATTAGTTAGGGGTCACTAGTTGGATACTCCAGCAAAATGAATTTTCCTTGTGACAGTTGATCCCCTACATTGAGTCTAATAGTCATATTACTCTCACTGTTTATTTAGATATCATGTGGGGTTAGTAGTCGATCATTTGCATAGAAATTGGTCATTACTGGTTAGTTATCCAGGAAAGCTGGTGGATCAATAATTATTTTTTTTAAATAGCAATGTAATTAGTTAATTAAGGGCAAGTTTGAATTAAGGGCAAGTTTGATTAAATATTAAAAACATGTACCTGCATATACAAGCACATTTAAGTACAACTGTACTTTTAAATTTATAGTACATGTAATTTCTATTTCTAGTTTCTTTTAAAAAAAAATCTTGCATGTTTGAGATATCTTGCATATAATGGGCAATAAATTAGATTCCAGAAATCAAAATACCCAGCCAGATTGTCATAAAATGGAATTTGTTCTGTAATCTTTAGAAAGCATTCCGTGTAATAAAAAAAGAAGTAAAATTGAAAATACATATTGTGCTTTTGTACGGTAAATTTTACCATTTGTCAATCAAACTTGTATTAGCCATTACATGTAGTCAATCAAACCTGTATTAGCCATAGTCAATCAAACCTGTATTAGATCATAAACCTTAATAAATGGAAAATTTAGGAGGTTTAGGTTCTTGTGAATGCTGAGTGATTACAAGATATATTTGTAGTTGATAAAACAGCTTTCCATCTTTCAATGATGAAGACTGATCAAAAATTTAATGTTTTGTGCCATTTAAGGTACAATGAAATCAGCTATAGAACAATAATTGCTTTTGTTAGCTAGAGCAGTAGCTTTTTTGTAATCAACAGCAATATCTTTTGTAAGTTACAATAATAGCCTACATCAACTAGAGCAATAGCTTTGTAAACTAGCGCAATAGCTTTTGTTAGTTACAATAATAGCCTACGTCAACTAGAGCAATAGCTTTGTAATCTAGAGCAATAGCTTTTGTTAGTTACAATAATAGCCTACGTCAACTAGAGCAATAGCTTTGTAATCTAGAGCAATAGCTTTTGTTAGTTACAATAATAGCCTACGTCAACTAGAGCAATAGCTTTGTAATCTAGAGCAATAGCTTTTGTTAGTTACAACAAAAGCGCAAGTATTAAAGCTACAGCAATAGCTTTTATAGGCAAGAAATGTAAGAGTTACAGGTGTTGGCCAATGACATAATCCCATTGACATGTCAAGTATAAGTGAATGTCTTCAATTGTTGTGACATGTCAAGTATAAGTGAATGTCTTCAGTTGTTGTGACATATCAAGTATAAGTGAATGTCTTTAATTGTTGTGACATGTCAAGTATAAGTAAATGTCTTCAGTTGTTGTGACATATCAAGTATAAGTAAATGTCTTCAATTGTTGTGACATATCAAGTATAAGTAAATTTCTTCAATTGTTGTGACATATCAAGTATAAGAAAAATTTCTTCAATTGTTGTGACATATCAAGTATAAGAAAAATTTCTTCAATTGTTGTGACATATCAAGTATAAGAAAAATTTCTTCAATTGTTGTGACATATCAAGTATAAGAAAAATGTCTTCAATTGTTGTGACATATCAAGTTTTGTTTGTTTGTTTCATTTTACGCCTTTCCCAACAGTATTTCAGTCATATAGGCGGGTAGTTTCCTAACCATCGTTCCTGGAGAGTTACACCAGTACTAGACTACCTTCCTCCGCGCTAAACTACCAAAGCATCTCCCGGGGATCAAACCCACGCCAGAGAGGTAACTGGATTAGAAGTCATCGACTCTAACCTCTCGACCACGGAGGCGGTGACATATCAACTATAAGAAAAATGTCTTCAATTGTTGTGACATATCAAGTATAAGTAAATGTCTTCAATTGTTGTGACATTTCAAGTATAAGAAAATGTCTTCAATTGCTGTGACATGTCAAGTATAAGTAAATGTCTTCAATTGTTGTGACATGTCAAGTATAAGAAAATGTCTTCAATTGTTGTGACATGTCAAGTATAAGTAAATGTCTTCAATTGTTGTGACATGTCAAGTATAAGAAAATGTCTTCAATTGTTGTGACATGTGAAGTATAAGTAAATGTCTTCAATTGTTGTGACATGTCAAGTACAAGAAACATGGCAATGCCATGAAACCAGGTTTTCAAAATTATCACCATTATAGATAAATATGTTGTATTTGAAATACAAATACAAGCAACAAACAATGTAACTAAGTGCAATGTAAAACATGAATAATGTAGGAGGAATTGCCACAGAGGAAGTGTTCACTATAATTATATTCTGTATAAGGAAAAAAAAGCAAAGGGCCATAATTAAATAAAAAATTATTCAATCACAAAACCCTGACAATATGCGCCAGGGCACTGGATGACAAAGCTACTGTGAAAGTTTGAACAAAATCTGTGAGACATGTAGGAGTTCAGCACAGAAGAATTTTTTCACTATATATTCTGTATAAGGAAAAATAACAAAGGGCCATAATTAGGTCAAATATTATCCAATCACAAAACCCCGATAATGTGCGCCAGGGCACTTAATGACAAAGCCTCTGTGAAAGTTTGGTCAAAATCTGTTGAGAAATGTAGGAGAAGTTGCGCATGGTAAAATTGTTCACTATGTAATCTGTATAAGGAAAAAAAACAAAGGGCCATAATTAGGTCAAATATTATCCAATCACAAAACCCCGATAATGTGCCCCAGGGCACTTGATAACAAAGCTACTGTGAAAGTTTGGTCAAAATCTGTTGAGAAATGTAGGAGAAGTTGCGCATGTTAAAAATTGTTCACTATATAATATGTATAAGGAAAAAAAACAAAGGGCCATAATTAGGTCAAATATTATACAATCACAAAACCCTGACAATATGCCCTAAGGCACTTGATGACAAAGCCTCTGTGAAAGTTTGGTCAAATTCCGTTGAGAAATGTAGGAGGAGTTGCGCACAGAAAATTGTTCACTATATATCCTATATTGGGAAAAAAAACAAAGGGCCATAATTAGGTCAAATATTATCCAATCACAAAACCCCGACAATATGCGCCAGGGCACTTGATGACAAAGCCTCTGTGAAAGTTTGGTCAAAATCCATTGAGAAATGTAGGAACAGTTGGGCACAGAAGAAATTATTCACTATATATCCTATATTGGGAAAAAAAACAAAGGGCCATAATTAGGTCAAATATTATCCAATCACAAAACCCCGACAATATGCGCCAGGGCACTTGATGACAAAGCCTCTGTGAAAGTTTGGTCAAAATCCATTGAGAAATGTAGGAACAGTTGGGCACAGAAGAAATTATTCACTATATATTCTATATTAGGAAAAAAAACAAAGGGCCATAATTAGGTCAAATATTATTCAATCACAAAACCCCGACAATATGCCCCAGGTCACTTGATGACAATGCTTCTGTGAAAGTTTTGGTCAAAATCCGTTGAAAAACGTAGGAGTTGCGCACAGAAGAAATTGTTTACGCCCCCCGCCCGTCCGCCCATCCGCCGCGCCGCCCACCCGCCCCGCCCGCCGACATACCTCAATCTAATAACAGTTTTTTCCTTCGGAAAACCTGGTTAATAAGTAAATGTCTTCAATTTTGTTGTGACATGTCAAGTATAAGTAAATGTCTTCAATTGTTGTGACATGTCAAGTATAAGTAAATGTCTTCAGTTGTTGTGACATGTGAAGTATAAGTAAATGTCTTCAGTTGTTGTGGAGATATAACTAACTTAAAAAACCTTTGTCTGAAATACTATGTAACGTAACAGGAGCCAAGCATTCAGAAAAAATATACATGCTAGAGTCATTGCCCTTGGACATTGGTGACTTGAGGCTTATAATGTGAAGTGTTTGTAGCAAATGTTTTTAAATGAAGATTAGTCACAAGCCAAATTTTGATCAAGAACTAAACTTACATTGAATCAGGTGATGAAGATGAAGAAAATATTCCACCATTGAAAAAGTCGAACTGGAAAAAGCTGTCATTAATTAGAAATGTTTATCATATCAAAAGAAAATTTGTTTCACATCAGTAAAATGAACTGCAGCATGGGTGATCAGAGAAGGAAAAGTAATTTTCTAGTTTCAAAATTAAAAAAAAACAACCACACATTCGGTATAAAACATCATTTTCTATGCAGCTGTTAATTTATTTATGTGTTTTTCATTCAAGGATGGAAAGTTATATCTCAGTTTACCACAATGATTTTATGAGAAAATTTGTGTAATGCCTTGATACAGTTAATGATAACAAACAATTAAACCATTATTTACACTACATTCCAATAAAACTGATGTAAATACCTAATGATTTTGATTACATTTTCTGTTCCTCAAATTTCAAACATCACTAGAACATAAATTATGTTCCCATGATATTAATGGTTGTCTATCAAAACAAGTCCTTGTTTTTCCACTTTTTCCCTTTTTAATAGTTTTTTCAGATTTATGTTTTAAGAGTTGAAGTAGCTCTGTGTATGTGCTAATACAAGTTGACAATTTTTTTTTAATTACTTTTTTTTTGGTTTGGTTTTAGACCACATCACCACTGTAAAGGTCATATGGCGACTTTCCAGCTTTACTGGTGGAGGAAGATCTTGGGTGCCCCTAAGTGCATTATTTCAGACGCTAACAGGCATTTGAGTATAATCAGCAACTTTAAAACAAATTTATTACACAGGATACCTGAACATTATACAGAATTAACAGTTAATCACAAAGTCAGTAGGCAGCCTCCATTTTTGTCCGGACCATTTCTTCTACAAGCAAGTATAGATAATATTATTATTTGATAAATGTGTTCACCATCATGAGACATATAAGTGCCACATGACGTGTATGAACCAGATTTCTAATCAAGGTCATACTTAGAGCATAA